TTAAAATTAAGACAACCCTTGAAGTTTAGAGAACTGGCTTAAAAAAAAAAAAGAAAGAAAAAAGAAAAAAAAAAACCTTAATATATAGCAAGCTAAAGCAGCAGAAAGGTCCAAAAGAACCCTAAAAAATGAAGACAGAAGCTGTGACATGCCATGTGCTTTCTTATTAAAATTTTTGCTTTCTTGTTTTAGTTTATCATTCATTGATACTTGGAATTTCACTTTGTTATTCATTACAATAAGCTATTTCTATATCTGAGAGTACATCTGGAACTTAAGAATCTGTGAGTATTAGAGACCAGTCATGACGACTATGCCCATAAGCTAGTGGAGCCTAAGCTAGAGGAGAAGACAAATGGCCTCTGGCTTCTATTTTTATACTCTGGCTCCTTTCCCAAAAGGCTTGCAATCGTTCTCTTAAACCATGCCCCCAAGCCACAATGTGTTAGACAGCACAGGTCCTACAGGGCATAACAGCCTCCCTAATCATGACCTTCCTTGTCCAGTTCTGAAACCCCTAACTTTCTGATTTGTAACAAGCTACTGATTTCCAATAAGCAATGTACAGGCACCACTGAGAAAAAAGAGACTTAGGTGAATCTTCAGTGCCTGGAAGAATCTCCCGAAGGAAAGGAAGAAAGAAAAAAAAAAAGGAAGGAAGGAAGGAAGGAAAAAAGCCACACAAAAAAAGATTACTCAAAAAGAAAATACTCTCAAATGGCATCTATAAATAACAGGGACCCTGTAGGATTATGTTTGTCTCCTTTGTGTGGGTTTTTATGGTGAGATATTCAAAGTCACATCAGAAAACCTAGAACTGCCTCTAGGCCACACAGAAGTAGGGGAAGTCCCTGTTCAAAGAGCTCACAGTGACCTACCCTGAGACAAAACTTGGGACAGAGGCAGAGCCAGAAAAAAAGTTCTAAGAGACCTGACACAGAAAATAAGCCTGCACTGTTCTTTCAATAAAATGCCAGGGATATGTGCAGCAAGAATTTCTATTATCACAGTATTTCTTTCACATTGGTATACCAGCTAAAGTCAGAGAGTTTCCAGTTAACTTAGAGTTGCACAGAAATTGGTGTGTGTGTGTGTGTGTGTGTGTGTGTGTGTGTGTGTGTGTCTGTGTTGAGATAAGATTTCTAGGTATAACAATCAATCTTGGTTGTCCTGAAACTCAATTTGTAGACCAGTTAACATCGAAATCTCTGAGATCCACCTGGGAGTGCTAGGATTAAAGGCATGTGACCACCACCACCCAGCTAACTTTTAATTCACATATATCCAGTGTTACATTGGTAACACATGAAGACTGAAAATTTATTCATCATTTACCTGAAACTCAATTTAACTGGGTCTGTGTTTCATTTACTAAATTTGAGAACCTGACATATCTTTCAAAATTATCTGCAAATGGTTGGCTCTGTTTTTTGGCTTTTTGTTTGTTTGTTTGTTTGTTTGTTTTGTTGTTACCATCATCCCAGACATGTCCTCTGAACTCCAGACCCCCTAAAATCAATTTCTTACTTAAGATCTTCACTTTAGTATCTAATGGGCATTTAAAACTTAACTGAATTAATCAACTCCTTTAATCCACAGCCTAGCTCCTGCCATCTGCCAGCAGCCCCTCCTCTCCATAGACTGGATTCCCCTGCAATCTGTCTCACCCCTGAAATGTTCATTGCTTGACTCAAATAATGTCCTCTAACTTACTAACTATTCTCTGCCACTTCTAATTCTTTGTATTTTTGTATAACTTAAATGAACCAGAGGAGTTCACAAATTTGTCTCCCTGTAAACTTGAAGCTAGACAAGAAGCCTTGGACAGTTCAGATGATGGCGAAATAAGTCCCAAGGGTGTCTACACAGTTTCTCCTAAGTCAGAGATATTCTCCATTGGAACCAGAAAGGCTCTTGCCACATTTGTACCCATCAACCAATAAATGACTGTGCCTAAAGAGGACAAAGGTGGCAACAACTTTTGCATTTCTAAGCTCAGCCCTGGAATTTTCAATTTCTCTTGCAGAAGTGCCTCTGAGTTTTCTGAACTGCTAACTGTTGCTGGGAGGGAAACATCTTACTACCTGGTACCCTCCCCACCACCCATATGTGTTAGTAAAGGGCACACTTAGTTCTGTACTTAGAGAGTGATGCCATGGAACTTTCTGGGCTCTCAATAAAAATTTAATGACCAAAGGACAAAGAAATGGCATGACATCCAAAGAGAGATCCGAAGAGATCTGTAGGATCCTAAGACATCTCTTGCCCATTCTTTGCTTGGTATGAACAGGAGCATTGTAAATTCTGTGAGGTCTCATCTTGTCATCAACCAAGTATCTAAAAGTCATGTGACCAGAAAAGCCCTTTTAAGCAATCTGGTAGAGACCAGTGAGTACTTTTTCTAACATTCCACCAGCTGTTATGACTCTGGGATTCTCAAAGAGATACAGTCATGTCTTCTGTGACTCTAGGCATCTCAAAGGTGACAGAGATGCTGGAGAGGATCAACCAAAGCACGAATGGTCAGCTACTTTACCATGCTTTTTGAATAACAAGGGCCTAGACCTGGCATGCAGTAGAGCTAGCTTGGAAGCTGGTACTTTCTGTCACACCGTGTCACTATGTCATCATGCCAAGAACAGCTTACCATTTAACGTGCCAACAATGTCAAGTAACATTTTTAAATAGTCTGTAGGGTTAACTAACAACATAACTTACAAAAAGAGGCTAAAACACCATTTAATTTGGGGTGAAACTCTGAAGAGGGCCTGGAGCCATGGTTCAGTGGCTAAAACACAGGCTGCTCTTGCAGAGGCCTCAGGTTCATTCCCAGTAATAGATGGCTTGAAACTTATCTATGTTATTCCAGTTCCAGGGGACACCCTGGAACACTCTCTTCTGGCCTCCTCAGGCACCAGGCAAATACATGGTATTTACACACACACACACACACACACACACACACATACACACACACACACAGAGACAGACAGAGGCATATTTCCATGCACATAACATAAAAATAAACAAATCTGTAAAAATTAATCAAAGAATTTCATAAAACCTGGAACAAATAATGTTTTGTTCCATTATTAATAGATAACAATGTGCATTGCTGATGTGGGACACAAAGAGGCTTCAAGTTTCCTAAAGACATCTGGAAATAATTTCATTGGATAGAAAAGTTAGTTACAAAAGTTCAACTTTAACAAGTTTGCCACTATTTTGACACATTAGTTCCACATTATGCATTCTTCTGGTATTTCAGTTTTAAGGAAATAATCAAATTTGAGCAAAACATATATATTGCATTGTGTGGGGGGGGTGTACATATATATTGCCTTTTAGTGTCAAAAGTTTCCATGACTTGTCAAGAACATATGTTTTTATTTTGGTGTGCCTTAGTTTCTCAAACTTTCTAAAAAGTGTATTATAGAACAAAACATATCTCTCAAGCATACATAAAAAAGTATTATTGGTTCTGTGTCTTAAAAATTAGTCTCCCAATAAAAAAAAAAAATAAGTTGGTTAACCTAGAGATTGACAGGTAGCCAATCAAAATTGTGATACTTCGAAGGCTGCTTTTGGGATTTTGTATTTTTGGGGTTAAAATCTATTCAATTGTCAAGAACATACATATATGTCCCACACTCACAGAGTGTTCGTATATCTTCTAGGAAGACTTTCCCACAGTCAGCTCCCACAGAAGAATATTCTAAACTCCAACTTCCCCGCATTGTCTTTCTGGCTGCATTAGAGTAACTGCTTCCCTAAAGATGGGTAGAGTGTTTTCATCCTCCAATTTTATCGCTTAATTCTTTCCAATTATGGCTTTTTAAGTTGAATATTGTACTTGGTAATTCTCAGAGGCCATCTGAAATCTGTACATGACAGCAATCATACTATTCAAAACATTCTCTTGCACATGTCACCACGAGGAAAACTACCCACCCTGAGTATAGCTATTAATGTCAAACAGATTGTCATCTGTATAAAAAAAAAAATCAAAATCAGCTTCGGACAAAGTACTGCTCTATGGAAAAACACCAGTTTTTTATATGCAAATGTCTTCAATGTTTGGCTGAAATTTTAAAAAGACTGAGTTAGAGAGGAGTCTGTCCCTGTTCTCAGCAATCCAGGGCAATGTACAAATAGTTTCAGAGCTAAAGATATCTAGTCAGAGTAGACTATAATTGTTTTGTTTTGTTTTTGTTATTTATTTATTGTTCTTTTTACCAAAGATGCATTTTGCCCCTGTTTCTAGTAAACACTGTAAAAGAAACGTTTGGATTCTAGCTCGGGTCCAGGACTCTATTTAGCCTATCCCAGCACAGACCTGTTATAAACGCTGGGACGCTTGCCATAACCCCCTCCCCCTTCCGGAAACTGAGTAAAAACCATTACCTCGAAAGCAATGTGCGTTGCAAGCCACACAAACTTAAGCCCCCTTTCCTGCCTCCCTAGATTGGTACCAACATCCCTCGGAATATATTTCACCTCCTAAAACTCAAGAGTAAGTTGCCACCTCCTCCTCCTCCTCCACCACCACCATGCGCCCACCCTTGTGCGTCTCTCTGGGGCTCCACTCAAGCCACCCCCAGAGCGCACCTGCACTCCTCCAAGTCCCTGCAGTGTGAAGTAGTGCCGCCCAGCTCCCAGCAGAGCAAGCACCTACAAACGTTCCCCGACTCCCTCTGCTGCAAACTGGCCTCAAATTAATCATCCACCTCGGCCCCTCTCTCTAAACTCTACGCCCCTGTTTCTTTCTTTTTCTCCCCTGATGATTCGGTCCCGCAAACACCTGTACACCCACCCCTTCAACTGCCAGACATCAGGTGCCCACGCTGCGCCCTGCCCTGCGCCCCCTCAGCCCGACTGACGCTTCCCCCTTGGCTTACAGGACGGCCACCTGGCTCAGAGTACCTGCTGTCACCCATGCTCAGCCGCAGACGGCCCCTACTACCACCGCCACCAGCACCAAGAAGAGACACCCACAGTACCTGCCGCGAGCTCGGCAGTCAGGACCACCAGCAGGAGGGCCAGGCTCCGTGCACAGTCGCGCGCTTGGGTCATGGCCACCAGGCAGCCGCGCAGGGCAGCCGGGGCCCCTGAGCTCAGCGGGGTGACTGGGAGGCACGGGCCGCTTTGAAGTTCCCGGGGCACGGGAGGGGAGCGCAGCCGCGACACCCTTCGGAAGTGCGCGGTTGGCTCTAGTGGCAGCGGGCGCTCCCCTCCGCCGCCTCCCCCATCCCACGCCCCCCGCGGCTGGCGACGCACCGCTCCTGCCACTGGCCCCGCGGGCTGCCTCGAGGGACAGGGCCCGCCCCTGCCGCGCCTCCGCGGGCACCGCTGCCAGCCAGCCGCCCGAGGGCGGGGCAGGAGACCGAGGGCGGAGGGGTGGCGGGGAGGTGACACCTCTCGTAGGCGAAGAGGAGCGGGCCACAGCACCAGGTCCCCGAGATTAGCTTCTCCTTGTGGGGGTGTTAGAGGGGGGATAGGAGAGCAAAGCCCTGTTGAGACTTTAGAGACATGTAGGATGGCAGCAGCTGCTTTCTTTACATTCTCCTACAGAAGATCCACCTTTCTAGATCTTTCCACATTCCTTTATTCATCCCTTGTCCCTAAATGTAACTAGCCTGAGCCCTGGGAATACCCTTGGCTGTTTCTTCAGGTTTGTCCCACCACCCATCATCTGTGAGTGCACCCTATCTGTGGAGTCCTGGAAATGACCTCTTGCACCTTTAACTTCCAATCTACAGCTCTGCTTTACTAAACAAACTTATTCATTCATGTCTTCATCCAAAAACTTCCTGTGCCCTAAAAATGACTGCACAAAGCTGAGCCAACTGTGCCAAGTTGATATGGCCATCTATAATGAGTAATGGAATTAAAGGACCAGACTTGTAGAAGGTGTTTAGCACCAGGTGTAGGGTGTGAGAGGAGTGGGGATGGAGGGAGAACTGCTTAAATCACAGAAAGTCAGTTGAAGATTTTTTTTTTTAACACTACCACCCCCTGCACAGGCCTCTTCCTGCAAGGACTAACTGTCAAATGGCTGCACTTCCCACCTAGATCAGGATCCAAAATATTAGGGTAGCCATTACCAATTAAAAAGAAACAACGCTAAACCTAACTTACCCATGCAGCCTGAACATAAAAGTGAATGGGGTTATTTTCATCTGAATATTACACAAAACCAAGACTACAGCTCAGTGCTATCACTGATGTTAGAAGGCTCCAGTGATTGAGTCATATAAATTAATTGCTGCAGAGTAAGAGATACTTCTTCACCCACCCATCTTAGCACTAAATAACAAATGTTCTTTGTGAAGCATAGGAAACCCCGGGATAAGATGGCTTCACTGTTAAGGGATGATGGCACTGTTGGAGGCGGGATGCGTGATGGACTTCCAAGCACGATGGTGGCAGTTCTTGGGAGCTTTCTTACCACACTACAGAGGATGAATCAAAACATCACTGAGTATAAAAAGACTTCATCCTCACTTCATCCTGGATACAAACAAACAAAACACAAAGAAAAAAATGGAGATGTGGTACACATTGGAGTCCTTCCAGGCACCCACAGCAGATACCTTTTAAAAATGGGCAAGAAAACGCCAGGGCACAGTATCTCTTGGCTCTGTCTTGGCCCACAGCTGGCTTCTGAGTTGGCGATTGAGCAGAAGCAAGTGCTCTCTGGTCTGCTTTAGAACAGACAAGATAAACAAACAAACAAACAGTGTGAGATTGTAGCTGAAGCTCGGGCATGGCACAAAAGCCAGGTGTTTATTCCCAAATGTTTGTCTTTAGTACAGAAAGCCTGTCTGCAATTTGTCTTCTGCAAGTTGGAATGCTCTTGTTTTCTAAGAAAGCAAGGTTTTTTATGCCAAGAAGTCTGATGTTGAATAACTTTAACACTCCCAATGAACTCAATGGTTTTCTCTCAGCTTGGTGGTGTACTGTCAATATGGTCTCTACAAACAGCAGGGGGATATTGAGCGAGTGCTCACAAAGTGTCCAGAGCAAATCGACATGTACCATAGGTATAAAATCCATGGCATGTTGCAAAGACTTACCGCAAAGGTCATAATGTAAGATACATTATAAGCAAATAAATTTGCATTGTTTTACAAGTCAAAACTATATAATTTTGGGAAAGTGGAATAAATACATCAGAATTTATGTGGCAGTTGTCTCATAACATAAGAGAAACAAACAAAAAAATTTTGTCCTAATAACATCCATAAATCCATCAGATAATTATAGCACAGAACATACACTTTTAAATGTTTTGTTATATCAATTTATTTATTGAAGATGGGGCAGTGTGTGTGTGTGTGTGTGTGTGTGTGTGTGTGTGTGTGTGTGTGTGTGTCATCCAGAGCATGCCTGTGGAGGTCAGAGGACAACATGAAGGTGCCAGTTTTCTGGGTCACAGGAATTTAACTCAGCCCCAAAACTTTTGTTTTGTTTTGTTTTGCTTTGCTTTTTTGTTTTCTTTTGTTTTGTTTTGTTTTTTCAAGACAGGGTTTCTCTGTATTGTTTTGAAGCCTGTCCTGGAACTAGCTCTGTAGTCCAGGCTGGCCTCAGACTCACAGAGATCCTCCTGCCTCTGCCTCCCAAGCCTGGGATTAAAGGGGTGCGCCACCACTTCCTGGCTAGCCCCAAGACTCTTACTTTTGATGGGGCACTAGTATGAAAAATAAAACCTACTGTACTAGCAGGCACATACAGTTGTGCACAGCACATACTACTTGATGACACTAAGTGATTGGGCCTGGTTTACACATTTACTATATTATATTTTTATTATCAAAGTGCATTCCTTTCACTTAAATATATTTAGAGCCACTTGGATCCAAAAGAAGACATTGTTATGACAGAAGATGGCAGCTTCATGATCTTACTGACCTTGAAGACCATCCCCAGGGACTGACTGTATATACTAAAGGTTGTCACCAACAGTGATGAGAACATTGACCCCATGTATTCTCTGTATCTTAGTTTTAACAACAACAAAAGATTGAAAAGTAAAAGTGGACCAAATTTGATGCTTCTGAATTGTAAAGGTACTTATTGCCAAATGGTGCAAGAAGAGAACCAACACCCAACATTTGTCCTCTGACCTCCACATACACTCCCTTGTCCTACATGGGTGGGTGGATGGATGGATGGATGGATGGAATAAAATGTTTTAAGAAAACTAAAGTTTTAAATAGATTAAATCTTACATAATAGAGATATGAAGAAAAATGGTAACATTTGTGTTTTAAGCTAATTGACATTACAAACAAGTCAAGAAATTTCCAACAAAACTAAGGTTATTCTAAACTGAGCTACATTTATTATTGAAGGGAAAGCAATGTTTCGAATTTTTACAAATCAGATAGTACACAGTGAAATTTAATGCCTTCTAGTTCACTAGCTGCTCACTTGCAAGTGTCATGGAGCAATCTTTTGCCTGGAACAAATTTTCTTCTAAGTAAGGGCCCCATGCACTTTATCACGCTGTATTTCACACTGGCTTTCCTATATTTGGATATAGTTAGACACAAAAGCACTTAGCATTCTGACATAGTTGTCTAGAGATTCAGTTCAGAAACATGCTGTGCAATTTGTAGCATAGGAGCAAAGGTCGTGCCATATAATGTAGGTGTGTAGGAGGCCACACTACCTAAGTCAGGGATTAACACTCTGTGGTGGTTCCACAACAAAGAAATTGCCCAGTGACTCATTCCTCGCAACTTACTCCTTTGGAAGGAGATCTACTACTATATGTTATAGAAGTTGTTATCTTTGGTCACTTTTTACTTTTTAATCTGTGCCATGTTTTGCATAAGTGTTCCCTACAGGTTTGTGTGGTAAAGGATTGACTGTTATCTGTGCTCCTACTGGCATACAGAAGTGACTCTGAAAAGTTGAGCCTCTAAGGGAGTCTAAAGACCTTTAGGTCAGGGGACATATCCCTGAGAAATAAAGTGAGGGCCATGATCTTCTTCCTCTCTCTTTCACCTCCCACTCATGAAGTAGGCAGTTTCATTGTACTGCTTTCTCCCGTCTTAATGTGCTGCCACAGGTCCAAAGCAACAGGACCAACAGATAGTACTCTGAAATCTTTAAACATGTGAGTTACAATAAAACTTCTTGGGGCTGAGAGAATAGCTCCATCCCTACATTGCCTGCCATGGAATAATGAGGACCAGTTTCAGCTCCCAAGTGCCTCCATAAGGCACACATCTATAACCTCAGCACTTTGAAAGGAGACATAGGTAGATCACAGAAGTGGTTTGGCCAGCTGATGGGTTCTGGGTTCAATGAGAGACTGTGTCTTTAAAAAATATAAAGGTAAAGTGAAAAGCAATAAACTAAGACACTCAGTGTTGACCTCTGGCTTCCACACCTATGCTTACACACACACACACACACAGAAGAACCTGTGCAGGTAACACACACACACACACACACACACACAAAACACTGGTTGGGGGGCTTGTCTTTAGAATTCGATTAACTTAAATTTGACCGTATTTGATAGAAAAGTGACTGTATTTGTGTGTGTGTGCACGCGTGTGCGTATGTGTGCCTGTACCTTACAAATGATTTTGCAGAGTCCAGAGGAGGACACTGGATGCCATTTTCTATGGCTTTATACCTTATTCTCTTGATACAATGTCTCTTCCTGAACTTGAAGCTTGCCCTCCCACCACCCACCTGACCCCCATTAGACTGACTATCCAGGAAACTTAGAAAATGCCCTGTCTCTTTTGTTGTAGAATATTATTTTAACTAGGCAAAGATGTGCTACATTTGTTTATGTTGCAGAGTATCACTTTAACTATGTAAAGATGTGTTACTTTTGTTTATCTTGCATTTGTTTAATGATGTAAAGATACATTGCTTTGCCTGCCTAAAGCACTTTATTCTTCTAATAAAAAGCTGAATGGTCAGTAGGTAGGCAGTAGAGGGAAAGGCAGGCAGAGAGTATTGCGGTAAATAAGGATCAGGATAAACAAATAGGCCGAATAGATGTTTATTCAGGGAGAAATAACTTACAACCTAGACAGATGAACACCAGGAAATTCAACC